AGTCCACTGTGTCCCTAATAACAATGGCTCTCTGAGTGTTCTTGTTGAACCCCTCTCCCCAACCGTCTCTCAATCCCGAGACTTGTTTTGAGGGGGCTGGAGCCACCCATCAATCTTATTGAAGGAAGAGGGGCTGGGGCTCAAAAGATGGATTTTGCCAAAGAAACTTCCTCACAAAATCCTCTTTCTCACCTGCACTCTCTTTCATCACCCTTTTGTAAATAAGATTTTTTTAGTGTTGTAAAACCAGCTTCTGGCTGGCTGTTTCCTGCAAATCTCTGCATATGGTCAGCCTCTAGAGCTATCTCAGTATTTTATGCAACATCTTTGGCCTGCACTCTAAACCAGAATGCCTGGGCTTAAATTGGAATCTGAAACCCATGACAATAGCTGTGAGACATTGAACAAGTTACTTGGCCTTTTTGTGCCTCAGTTTCCTCACCTAAAGAATGGGCTTTATAGAAGTTCCTGCCTCATGTCTTTATCATGAGTTTTATAATATGAAAAGTTCTTAGAACAGAGCCTGGCCCACTGTAAGCCATTGTTATTTTATAGCCTTTCTCTGGGTCTCATTTGAAACTTCCAAATTAGCATCTTGTTGCTTTATTCTATTCCCTCTTAACCTTTTTATTCTCCTGTCCTTAGACTGATTGGGATTCAAATCCATCCAAGTCATTCATCCATACCTAGGCTTCTGCTGCTGCTGACATTCTCACACATAAAAGATTTTTCTCTTTTCTGCTCACTATGTACAGTTTACATAATTATGAAAAATGAGGCTTTTCATCAAATTTTTCCTAAGCTGTCTGAAAAATCAACTTCTAAACTATTACCAAGCAAGAAAGAGAGTATGGTAATCGTTTTTCTTTTTTAGTGGCAGCTAGAAATTAGAGCTTTCTGGGGGAGGAATTTAGTAGTAACTGTCAATGCTGGTTTCTTTATTTTGTCTTTTAAGCAGGTAACTTTTCAGTGATAGTGAGTGACACTTTTGAAGTTAAGATAATTATTTCCTACTGTGTTGATGATGGCTGTGAATAATACTCCATTCTCAATTTGTGGCGTATTCAAGGAAACACATCTTTTTAAAATTGCTTTTCTCTGATTTTTCAAGGGTTATAATAGTTGAACTCTGAGTTCACAATAAGATCGTTGGAATCATAATTCAAATAATGTGAAATCGTACCACTGATTTCTTGATGCAAGACCTCTTAAATGACAACATAACAAAATTCAACATTTTACCTACTTAGTAGATTTTGGTTGCCAGAAGAGTACTTAGCATCTTTCCTTACTGAAGGTCTTGGAATCTTTGAATATTCTCCAGTGGAGATCAAGGCAGCTTGTAATTCACAGACTTTAGGTAGGTTTTGTGAGCAGAAAAATTCCCAGCTATAAAAAAAGCAGGAAAACAAACCCTCTAAGGAATTAGAACCTCATCTATCTCAGCAAAAAGAGATTAAAGCTCTTTTTTTTTTTTTGCGGTACACAGGCCTCTCACTGTTGTGGCCTCTCCCGTTGCGGAGCAACAGGCTCCGGACGTGCAGGCTCAGCGGCCATGGCTCACGGGCCCAGCCGCTCCGCGGCATGTGGGATCTTCCCAGACCGGGGCACGAACCCGTGTCCCCTGCATCGGCAGTCGGGCTCTCAACCACTGCGCCACCATGGAAGCCCAAAGCTCTTCTTGTGAAACAGTTCTTCACATAGTAAAAAAGATTAGCCAATAGATTTTTTTCTGGATTGTTTTTTATTAACTAAATAACTAGTTTTATGAATTCTTCTTTTCTTGCTTGTTTGAATTTAGTTGGTTGTTTGACTTAATCAAATCTATCGGCTGTTTTGCATTATGAGAACCAACAATTCCTGAATGTATTCCATTAGATGCTGATCTGATGGGATATTCATTCATTAAGTCTTTATTTATTGAGCACCTGCTATGTGTCAGGGATAGTTACGGGGGGTAAAGATGCAAACAAAACAGAAAAGATCTATGCTCACATCTAGTAGGGCAGAGGTGAAATAAGCAAACAAACAAATAATTCTACATTTTCATGTAGCAAAAAAAATAAGATGAGGTAAGAGTCTGAAGGACAGAGAAGGAGCTTATTGTTTTAGCTGCGATGTTTTATATATTAATAGAAAGGTAAAAACTTTCTGAGAAAGTGATACCTGAGTAGCAATCAGAACAGGGTGAATGTGAAAGGCATAGAAATATCTGGGGAAGAGCAGCGCAGGCAGAAGAATAGCAATGGGAAGGGTGCTAAGGCAAAAGAGTGGTTGACATATTCCAGAGACAAGGTGGTCAGTGTGGCCCAGGGAGGCATATGTGAAGCTGGTGTTGGTGGAGGCGAGAGACCAGATTGTGTAGGACTTTGTGGACCTCGGTCAGAACTCTGATTTCCATGCTGAGTTGATGTGAAGCCACTGGAGATATTTGAGTGTGTGTGTGTGTGTGTGTGTGTGACATAATTTGATTTATGCTTTAAAAAAGATCCCTTGATCATTAAATAAAAAATATATGGTAGGTTGGGAGTGAGGGGTAGGATATTAATAGTGTTTTTTTTTTTCTTAAGACTTCTGTGGTCAAAAAAGTTTTGGAAACACTACATTAAACAAAGGTAAGAATTAATGGATTCTTAATTCGTAATTAATGGATTCTTAATTCTTAATTCTTTTGTTTTCGGGGAAAACACAAAGGGAGATTAGATGTACAAAGGAGCAGAGTGAAATAACCCGCATCCTTGGGCCCAGTGAGGCTTCCTGCCTTTGCTCAGGAGGTAGAGTCTGGAGCAAGCAGAATGAGCACATTGCCGTGGTGGGAGGGCTTTGGAATCAGGCATGCAGCTGTGGAATCCTGACTTTGCCACTTCCTAGGCGTGGGGCTACCAGTTGCCTTTTTTTTACATTTTGAGCCTCTATTTTCTCTTCTAATAAAGAGGTGGTGATAGCTCCTTGATGGGGCTGTTGTGTAGACCATTCCAGATGATACATATGCAACTCATTTGTCTCTCTCCCTGGGTGGAATCTTGTTTTCACCAGTGTGCCAACTGTGAAGCAAAACTTCACTCTTTACATTCACTAGAGAGAAACCACTCCAAATGTCAGTGAACAGTGTGTATTTTACTAAAGATTTGGGGGTACAGTTGAGGTGGGCATTCATGTGGTACAGGACGTAGCATGTCACTCGAAAACTCGCAGTTACTAGTTATCTTTTGCTGAGTAGGTAGAGACTGCTAACTGTAACATTATATCCATACATCCCTTCTTCCTTTTAGCAACAGAAGCCTCCAACTTTTAGTTGAGAACACAGCTGCCCAGCTAGAGATTGCATAATTTTGGCCTCACTTGCATCCAGGTGTGACTAAGTAACCAAGCCAAGCCCGTGGGGTATGAACAGCAATGATATGTGCAATACCTGGGTCATCTTCTCAGAGTTAAAGCTGCTTGTCTTGGACTCTCTTTCCTATTTCCTGTGACCTAAAGAATACTGACAACCCAAACCACCTTAGAAACTACAACTATTCATACCTGAACTATTAAGTGGTAGCAAAATAAACCACCTCATTTAAGCCATTATATTTTGAGGTCTTCTTGTTAGAGCAGCTTAGTCTATATTCTAATTATACATAGACCAGTTCTCAGTCTCAGATCTCTCTCTCTCCTCTTATCCTCCAGGGCCTAACCTGCCAGGCTACAGTCTCTCCCCTCCTGGATCTGATGCTCCCGTCTCACTCCCTTTCACTCCTTCTCATGCAGTTCAATTTAACTTTTTTCTATTCCCTTCAAACATCTGTCCCCCACGCATCGTTTTATTTTCTTTCTTTCTTTCTATTTTTCTGTATACAAGGGGCTCTCCAGTCACTGGGGTGTATCTTCTTCAGAAAGTAGAAGAGAATTATAAATCACAAATGATATTTTCCCATGTTACACATGGAAAACCCTCAAATAGAACCTGGTAGGTAACAGGTGCTCAGTGATGAGTTGTTCCATTTCCCATTTAGGCCTTTGTCTTCTCCAGGAGTTGACGCTAGTCCTGGGACAAACTGGGAAGATTTAAAGATCTACTGTGGTGCTATAACCCTGCTATAGATCAAAACTGAGCCCTGGGAAAGATCCAGATCAGTGATAACCTAAGCCAGGTTTAGACATCTTAGGAATGGTTTGGGTCAAAGAGAACCTTCTCAGCGAATCCTAAACCTGGCTGATAATCTAAAGGTTAAATAATGTACAGATTCCAGGGTCCCATCACTGGAAAATCTGATTCTGTAGGTTTGCTGAAGGGTCAGGAAATTAGTGTTGTTAGCAACCGTATCAGGTAATTTTTTTTTTTTTTTTTGCGGTATGCAGACCTCTCACTCTTGTGGCCTCTCCCGTTGTGGAGCACAGGCTCCGGACGCGCAGGCTCAGCAGCCATGGCTCACAGACCCAGCCGCTCCGCGGTATGTGGGATCTTCCCGGACCGGGGCACGAACCCGTGTGCCCTGCATCGGCAGGTGGACTGTCAACCACTGCACCACCAGGGAAGCCCCATATCAGGTAATTTTGATGCAGCCATTTAGCTGGTGCATGGACTAAAACTTTAGATATCATGAATCTAGGTCTTTGTAAAACTTTAGGTAGTTCAGGTAATGCTCATTTCCACTACCTTTTCTCCCCTGACTCTCAGCTTCCCTGATAACACTAGAAAAGATTAAACTGATAATTCAGGCATAGGGTAAGGAGCCTTAAATTTTTCCAACCACTTCAAACTATGGGCCAGATTCCACTCTCAAGTTCAGTCACATATGGCCAAGGACTACAATGGGTTTTGAGCACATCCAAGTAAGTATAATAATTTGGCTTGGTACACATATAGAAATTGCCAATGAAAGACAAAGAGAGAAGAACAGGAAATGGGAACACATCTGTTTGGAGGCCCAGCTACCTGATATGTTAGCTTTGGCAAACCTTGCATACTTTGTCCTGCCAAAGAAGCTGCTGACAAGGAAAATTGAAACACTGACCTCATATGGCTGGGATCAGTACCAGTAATGCCACTGTACATATTAGGTCTTCAAAACAGTTCTGAAGGTTGATCTGGGGCTCAACTTGGCAGCCCTCAGCCACACAGATCATTACCTACAATGGAAATTATTCACGTTTATTATCGAGATGATTTATTTTGAAAATGTTCATGGCCTAGAGCTCTAGAATTTGCATACAGAGAATACATTCAACATTTAAACTAAATACAGCAACTTCCAAACAGAAAAATGGGTAGTAAAATTTCAGAGTCCAAACATTATGCAGCAGGTGCTAAAGGTCAGAAGAATGTATTAAAGGGAAAAGTGCCAGGGATCAGGGAATCAGAGGCAAGGAAAAGGCCTTTGGAGGCCCTCTTTCCCATCCTCTTCAAGGAGAGGGATGCCCTCCAAGTCGTCTCCCATTGCTGACCATCTCCCTCACAGTGAAGAAGATGGGAGAAGCTGGAGGCTGCAGAGACAATGTTTAGGGGCCTTCACCACAAGACCAGGTACATGGGATTTTATTCTCTGTATATTTTAGTTTTAAGGAACATCAAGAAACACCATTTATAATGTAGAAAGTCTGGGATTTAATTACATTTAACTTAAAGGAAGCACTTATACAACCTTCTGATACTACTTTTGGATGTAGTTGTATTGAACTGTCATGAGAACAAGAGTTATTATTCAAAAGGCTCATCCTCTAGATTAGCACAATGGATTATGCAATTTGCCAAGATGTCAGGCATGAGGAAGAAATTACTCGCTCTTGTTCTGACAGAAATATGTTCAAGCACTCTGGATTATCTTCTGGGCCTCAAGTGTTCAGAGAATCCCAACACTTGTCAAGAGATCCGTGCCAATTAAAATTATCTTGTTAGCTCACTTTTGTGACATAGCAGGAGATCTCAGTTTGGGCAGGAGGAGGGAAAACATAGTTGTGTTCTACATGTCTGATGAGCATTTCTTCTGGACAATTCTATAATGTAGACCTTCTTATCTTTATCCCATTCCTCTTGTTTTTCTTCCCTCCCTCACCCTGGATCATGCAACTCATTCCCTAGCAAGTTTCCAGTACTAAGGCTTATTGAACCCCTACTGTGTATCAGGTTTTGTACTTGGAATGTCACACAGGTACATTTATTTAATACTTTAAACACCTCTAAGTAAATGATATTATTCCCATTTAATAGATGGAAGAAATTATTACTGAGAAAGGATATTAACTTGATCAAAATAATGAAAGTAGCCAATGTTAGAGCTGGAATTTGAATCTATGTCTTCTAATTCCAAGCCAGTGATATTTCCATTATGTTACTCTGTTCTTCCATCATTGAAAACAAACACTTGGAAGTTAAGCACTTGGACTTTTTTTTTTTTTTTTTGCGGGACGCGGGCCTCTCACTGCTGTGGCCTCTCCCGTTATGGAGCACAGGCTCCGGACACGCAGGCTCAGCGGCCATGGCTCACGGGCCCAGCCACTCCGCGGCACGTGGGATCCTCCCGGACCGGGGCACGAACCCGCGTCCCCCGCATCGGCAGGCGGACTCCCAACCACTGCGCCACCAGGGAAGCCCGCACTTGGACTTTTGAAGTAAATGAATTCCAGAGCATATCTGAATTCAACTCGATAGAAATGTCATTTGATGAAAGGATTGATATACACAGACCATAGAGTATGTACTAAATTCAAGTCTTTTTGTTTCACGTCAATTAAGAAGTTTCAGTGAAAAGAACTGTACGAAGTCTGAACCTGAGAGACCATACTCAACTCCCCAGGGGGCAATGACACAAAATAAAAAACTTGCCTTTACCAACTGGCACCCATGCTAACATGGTCTTAGAAATCCATGTTATGATGGAGCCTCTCAGGTAAAACAGTATTTCCCCCAGTTATAAATTTATTTTAATGGGGAAAGAAATACATTTATAGTTGTAACATCTACTACTGAGCTCTTGCTCTGACTCTTAAAAGCTATGTAGTTTTGGCAAATCTCAGCATCTCTAAGCCACTGTTTCGAGTTCCCTGTAAAATGGGCATTTATAACACTAGCCAGGCCAGTCCTCCTATCCACATTCAATGCTAGATTATACACTCTTTGGATTAGGGACTGTGTTTCTGTGTGTCTAGAAGAGTACTTGGCACAATGGAGGGATCAATTCTTCATTGAATTTATGAAGTTAAAGTAAGTTAATGAATATGAAAGTAACTTGGAAACTATAAAGAGAGTTCAAAGTAATTATTTTTTTAAATAAACTACTTATTTTAGAATAGTTTTAGATTTACTAAAAAAACTGTGAAGATAGTACATAGAGTTCTCATATACCTCCACCCAGTTTCTTCTAGTATTAAATCTTACACAGGTGTGGTACATTTATTACAATTAATGAGCCAATACATTATTATTAACTAAAGTTCGCATTTTATTAATATTTTCTTAGTTGTTATGTAATGTCCTTTTCCTTGTTCCTTGTTCTAGGATCTCACCCCATGGTACTGCATAACATTTAGCCATTATGACTCTTTAGACTCCTTTTGACTGTGACAGTTCTCAGACTTTGCTTATTTTTGATGACCTTGACAGCTTTAGGAAGGACTGGGTGAGTATTTTGCAGAATGTCCCTCAACTGGGATTTGTTATAATTAGATTGCGGTTATGTGTTTCGGGGAGGAAGCCTGAAGAGGTGAAGTGTCATCTTCATCACCTCATAGCAAGGGTACATACTATCAACACGACTCATCCCTGTTGGTGTTAACCTCGACCACCTGGCTGATGTAGTGTTTGTCAGGTTTTGCCACTGTAAAGTTACTCTTTTTTATCCCCTTTCCATACTGTGTTCTTCGGAAGGAAGTCACTACGAGCAGCCCATACTTAAGTAGTTGGGTGTTACGTTCCATGTCCTTGAGGGTGGAGTATTGACATAATTTATTTGGAATTCTTCTTCATGGGAGATTTGTCTACTCACCCCCACTTATTTATTTATTCAATCATTTATTTATATCAACATAGACTATAGATATTTACTTTATACTTTGGGCTATGATCCAGTACTATTTTATTGTGTTGCTCAAATGTAATTGTAAATTTTACTATTAATATTATTACCAAGCAAAATCTATAGTGGACTAGTATCCTGCTGAATTTTATTTGGTAGCCAGAAAGCTGACGGTGAAGTTCAAGATTTGTGTCTATTTCGTTCATTTCTGTACCTAGTGCATGGCTCATGTGCCTTATTAATACTTTTTGAATTCATATCTGAAATACAGTACTGAGTTACAGCTGTCACTGATTATAAAGATCATGGGTAAAGAGATTTGTTGTTACAGGATTTATATCCAGGATCACAAATGTTTGGTAGCCACTGAAACAACTTGCAAATTTATCACTGGACTCCTGAATGTCCTTTCCTGCCCACACCACACTCTCTCATGATTGCAGCTGGAGCAGAAAATGTTATTCTCAGTGAACACCCACTGTGGGTACCATAGAGAAACATCACATGTAACACTGAGAAAGTTCACGTATTCTATGAAATTCTCTGTTAACATACAATGACCAGTATGGTTCTCCCCAGCTAGGCTCCGAAGTGGAGTGCAATCACATGGTTGAAATAGCAAGAAGCCTGTGAGAAGAAAGCAAAGCCCTGCTTCTTATCTGCCTTCAACGCTCCCTTCATCTATCACTTAGAAGCACTCAGTTTGAGTTTGGAGTGGGCACCTTTGACTGTGTGCCCTGCTATGCTCTGTTAGAGAACGAATCTTGAAGTTCCAACTAGTGCCAGTAGAACAACACAGGCATCAGGTTAAGCGGACTCCATCCCTCTCATGCTGCTCCACATGGATATTTGTCCACAGTCAGGGACAAGTCCAAGTGTTGGCTTTAATTTATAGTGTCTGGCTGTTTCTACTGCTGGGCTCTTAGCCAGAGCCAACCTCTCTCCCTCTGTCTGTCTTTATCCATCTAATTCCTCAGTTAATATTTTGAAGTATTCTTCATGAATCCCTAAATATGCCTTTTGGAACTTGACTATGATCCTCCCAACATCTGTACCACATTATTTCTAAATCATGATTTTGCCAAATTCTAGTTCTTTCTGGAGCAGAAAAATATGGAGTTGAGTTCTAATTGTGTCATTCTTGGGCCAGCCATTAAAACTCTGTGAGCTAATGTCCTTATCTGCATGGAAGATAAAATAATACCTACTTGAACAAGATGGTATGGTGAGGATTAGAATTGATTATATAAAAGGTATTAGCCTACTGCCCGGGCTAAGTAAGTGGTAAATATTTGTTTATCTAAAGGTGCACAGGGGGCTTCCCTGGTGGCGCAGTGGTTGAGAGTCCGCCTGCCGATGCAGGGGACGTGGGTTCGTGCCCCGGTCTGGGAAGATCCCACATGCCGCGGAGCGGCTGGGCCTGTGAGCCATGGCCGCTGAGCCTGCGCGTCCGGAGCCTGTGCTCCGCAACGGGAGAGGCCACAACAGTGAGAGGCCCGTGTACCGCAAAAAAAAAAATAAAATAAAAAAAGGTGCACAGGGAACTCTTCTCATAGAATAAATGAAATAATACACTAATAAGAAAACCAAGTGGGAAAATGTATTAGAAAATGATTCTGAAGCAATTATACATATCCCCCATTGATGGGAGGGTGAGCAGGTTATTGTGCTGATTGGGCCGGTTTGTATTTATTACTTGAATGCCATTTGTCTGATCATGGCTGGGAACAGTCCAATTAATGAATTCTCTGGGACAGAGGAAAACTGAAGGAGTTGAGACCAGGAACTCAGCTCACCCCCAAATATGGGTCAATAATGGGAATAATGGATTTGATTTTGGAGTTCACCTTAAACCCTGAAATGAATGGAAGCAGGCAGCAGAGGCATTGGGGTGGGGGTAGCGGTTGTGTTCAAGGACAGACAGTGAGCCAAAAAAACCAAATCTGAGACTCAGGGATATATAAAGGAATATAGAGTACAAGGGAAGGAGCTAGGCAAAGTCAAGAACCAAATCTAGTGGTGGTGGAACTGGTCAGGTGACCAAGAGCAGAACTGGAGTCTCAGTATAAAAAGGATTGACTAAGGATTTGCTCTAATTCTAGCCAGTTTCTTAAATAA